TTTATAGCTCGAGGCACACTTTTCTAGTTCTAGTTCAACGATAGAAATTCGACCAAAATCATTTATACGTCCAGATTTAGATTCACTTACATTTTGGGCTATTTTTAGTACCTACATTTTTTTCGTTTTGTTTTCTTTTGTATTTGTAAAAAAATTGATGTAGTTAAAAAAAATCAAATACTAAATTTCGACAATAGCTATTAAAAAAAAGGGAATTCGGTTGCCGAACAGAGGAGATTATAGTACTTAACTGTTTTGTTTTTGCATATACATACTCGTATTATATGCGTGAAGGTTAAGAGAAAATATACTTATATATGATTGTCCATAGCATAAACTAATGTTAAACAGTTAACACAGGCTATATAGTTCTTTTTTATGCTAAGGTCGTTGAATGAGCTCACAGGCCGTCTGATTGATACTCATTGCCTATCATATCCCGTAGACGTCCCAAGGTTGCTGCCGGCAGGAAGCTTCTGTCCGGGCAGAGGGGTTTGCCACGAGGCCCTTTACGTGCCCCCGCAAGGGATCACGACGATCCATGTTATAAGGTTGCTGCCTACTAAGGCATACTATTAAAAACTCACAGTCTAATACAACTTAACACTTCCCTTTCACATACTAGGCAGCGGCTTGGCTCTACCCCTGGCATTGCTGAAGTCCATGGGCGACGGTAACCACTCACCATCAGGTGGGCCGTATGCTCGTCTGCCTATAAGGGCAATAAAAAAAATCACATACATTACACACGATACAATAATAAAAATTTACTCTACAGTTACAAAGTTCTAGACTAGAATTTCTGAACCAGACGAGCTTCATCATTATTAATATTCTAATTAAATTAACTTACTTATGTAATTATCAAAAGTTAAATATGAAAATTACAAGTTTTAATTTAATAATCAAAAATTTGTACTAGGTTTTAATAGTAAGTAAATCTATATATTAATACGTGAAGCAAAAACTTTGTACCACTTTTTACAAAAATTGCGCGGACGGAGGAGTATGAAATTTTCCACACTTATAGAGAATATGGAGAAGAAGTGCACAATGCTAATATTTTTTTTATATAATCGATTATACATTAAATCAATAAAGAAAACATAACACACACTACCATGTATTTGACACACGCACATATGCTCTTTGTTTATATTAGACTTTAAAGTCTGTAGTCAAATTGAGAATAGGTTAATATTGTTTATCTTTAATATTACGAGTATTTGTCTATAGTGTAGTCTTGACGAAATCTGTAACAAAAGAACAATAATAATGTTGAAACTTTTAATTGCAATTAATTATAGTCGAATTTCGACTACTGTGGGTCCACTAGTATGGAATAAATAAGCAACGTATTTCATAAAGCATCGAGCTTGCTATTCATTCGGCCATATTTTATTGTCTGCCAACTTCAACCGCACCCCGTACCTGGATAAATAAGTGGCCATTTGCAAATTGTATTTCATAAACCGAACCAGAATTGCTAATAACAAGACAATATTATCCTATTTGTGAATTTATTGCTCCTTGTTTGAAATAGGTCTGAAGGTTTACGGTTCCGAGCGGATTTACCAGATTTCTAGTTTAGTTTTTCTTTGAAAACTATTAAATTTTGTATCTCTGAATTAAAACTTATCGATAATCTACTTAACTACCACTGATAAAATTCTGTGCAGAAAGATAGAATAGAAATTAAAAGTAAGGGTGTATATAGCGAAATATTGTGCAAAATAAACAGATTTGTTGTAAATTCTCGCCCACCACGTAGACTATGTTGATGGTAAATGCCAGAAACCTTCTTTGAAGTGCCAACAACAACTGTACTAAGTTACAACTCAATCGTACAAAAGACGGGCGAAGGCCTATAACAGCATGAACAAACAATGCCGCCTTTTCCATATTAAATTACTTTTGCATGATAATTGTAACTTTAACATTATAGTAGACCATCTTGTGTAACATTTTTAGAATACAAGCTTACAGTATGCAGTCACGATTACCGATTAATAAAATAACAAAAAAAAAAAAAACGATAACTGCCATTGAAGATTTTAATATTTGAGGGCAACGTGATGTTTTAAAAGTAACACTATCGACTTTATTATTGTCATTTCGGGAATGCGACTAAGAGGAGGACTGTATTTTAATCGAACTCACAATTAAAGTATTAAGTAGAACTAGAGGTCCCGCAGTAGTCGAAATTCGACTATAATTAATTGGAATTGTAAGTTTGTACACTATTATGATTGTATTTTATACTTCTATAATCACAAATTCCGCCAAGACTACATTATAAAAAATATTAATAAAGACAAACAATATTTAATCTATTCTCAATTTGACGACAGACGTCAAGAACAAAAGTTTGACAATAAATAGTATGCATGCGTGTGTATACATACATGCAGTAGTATGCATACATGGTATGTAGTGTGTGTAATGTTTTCTTTATTGATTTAATGTATCTTTTAGGCATTCTTTTAAAAAAAAATTAGCATTGTGTACTTCTTCTCTATATTCTCTATAAGTGTGGAAAATTTCCTACTCCTCCGTCCGCGCAATTTTCGTAAAAAGGGATACAAAGTTTTTGCTTCACGTATTAATATATAGATTTCTGTATCGTTCAATTTACTGTCAAGAGCTCTCAGAAATTAAATACCTGATTTTGGTTCAGAAAATTCTCAAACTCAATCAAAATTGCAACCTTTTAAATTCAATTTGTGTTGAATTTCATTAAACAATACGATACTGATTTTAATAATTCATTTGCCATTCAACCATACCTTCGGTCGGAACGGTCGACATTTTTATCGTAATCAGAATTATTAGTCTTATTCAATATTTTTACCTTTTTATTTTAGTCTTCATATATGACACCCCCTGTCAAGACTGCTTAAACAAATAAATCTTTTCAATACGTATGTACCTATATACATACAATACATTCGTATATGTACCTATATCTCGGTCTAAGGAGTGTGTACGGCGCGGTAATGCCCATACTCTTGAAGCCGTAAAAAAGTAACATAAATTATATTCATTTAGTAAAAGAAATACTGATATAAAAAATATGATTCGTTTTTTTGGGTACTATAGTTAAGCAGACAACTTGATAGTTAACCTAGTGGTAAGCTATCAAGTGGTGGTAGGACCTTTTGTGAGTTGATACGGGTAGGTACCACCACCTTGCCTATTTCTGACGTGAAGCAGTAATGCGTTTCGGTTTGAAGGGTGGGGCAGCCTTTGTAACTATACTGAGACCTTAGAACTCATAGCTCAAGGTGGGTGGCGGCATTTACGTTGTAGATGTCTATGGGCTCCGGTAACCACTTAAAACCAGGTGGGCTGTGAGCCCGTCCATCCACCTATGCAGTATTAAAAAACTGGTAACTGAATCCCTTAGTCGTCACATGAACATTTACTTGTACCGTTAGGTATGTAGCCGAACTCTGTATTTCATTAGAATATCAATCAATTTGCTATAAATTGATTACTTAATTGGATGATAAGCTCTACCAGGTTTTGTTTTTTTAATAATTCTTACACTTTAACGTGCTAATCGCTTTTGTAATTATTATTATTTTTGAGATCACGGCCTATTAGGTTTTAAATGGTTACCGGAGCCAATACCGCCATTCAGCTTGAAAACAAGTTTCTGTGTTATAGTACAACGGTTGCCCCACTCTGCAAATCGATATGCAGTACTGCTTCACGACAGAAATACGCAGAGTAGTAGTACCTATCTGTACCTATCTGTGTGGGATGACAAGGCGCCTTACCACCAGTAGTGCTTAAAATATTAAGACTATAATGTTTTATTAATATTACACGGTTATTTTGTGATATCACAGCCAGTGAAATAGAGTTGAATGTTTTACAGATTATTATACGATTTTCCGATTTTATTATTGTAAAATTCATTTCTTAGAAAATTTGTCATTGAACATACGTCATTATTCTGTGGTAATACTTTGTTGTCATCAAACAACACACAATTCCTTTACGAAAAGAGGTTTATAATTTTATCGGAGTGAAATTCTGAAATCAAACACAATATTTCATCATTAATGAGGTTTGTAACGTACAATATAAATACCTTTTATGTGAGTCAGTTTCGTTTACACACGTTCGAGGCAGAAGGCGCCCGCGGCTTCTTGCCTCGCATCCACAGGCCTACAGCCTCTGTAAACATTTTGTTTGTTATTGTTTAGAATTACCTACCTAAACAAACCGCCTCATAAATTCAGAACTTTCCGCCCTTAACTTTTATATTGACCTATTTGTGTTAAGCTTTGAAAATTATTACTCTTTACCTCGTTCACTGAGGAGTATGCAAGGTGCCTTTGTAAACTTTGCACGAATACGACAGAGTTATAAGAAACTAGCTAATTGTTTTCTATTTTAATATTTAAAACTATCGGATGATCCAGGTGAATGGCTTTATAACCACAGTATGCGAATTTTTTTTTTGCGCTATTTATAGATTCATCGCTTGATGGATTTTGCATATTAGTAAAAACGTGGATTGAAAAAAAGGTTTTGGTCATAGTATAGATATTTTAAGAATGTTGAATTAAAAATAATTTACGTTACATTGCATTTACCTTTACCAACCTTACATTTATCAACGCATAGTATGAAAATACAGACAAAATGAATAATTCACTTTGTCATAAGTTTCATACTTTTCACGAATTTCAAATTTTGAATGTTTTTTAAAAAGAATTTTAGAAAGGGTTTACGAATTTCCATATCGCTTCGAAGATCTACGTAATTTTCACTCCGCTTTTATTTAAAAAGTTAACATTCCAAATTCAATTATTTTCTATACAAGTATCACTAATATTACCGTCTCTGAAAAAACACGTCACCTCAAATAAATCTATCACCAATTAATCTCAACACCGTTCTCCCTGCTATAGCAGTTGCAAATTAGTTTATGATGTTATGTCACGTTTTGTTTTCATTACTGAAATAAAATTTTGTGATTTTAACAGATGAGCAAAGACGAATCTACGGCTCGGAAGCGGGCGACAATCCTCCTCGCTACGTCAGCAGTCCTCAAAGACAAGCATCACCATTCCCGTTAGAGAGCACCAATCGACGTTATTATAGAAGAAACAGGAACTCTAAAGGTTATAAAAATAAAATTATATTATAATATTCAATTAACACAATTGCTACAAAATCTGCAGCATTATTAATATAACCTAATTTAATAATTTATAAGCTATGTTTATATTAAGAGTTTTGTTAAGTTTTGCGGGGCATGGTTTAAATGAAAGTGTAACTTTTTATGAATAAATATATTACATACATACAACGTACACGCATTGTTAGATTTAGGAGCAATTTGGTAGAGGCCTACATTACGACTTGAAAGCCTAAAAATTCATAACATATTTGCTTTTAGGCATTGTTCGATTACATCAGTACTGTCAGTTTAAGAAAATATCTGGATAACCTTCACTGTTACAAAATTGAAAGCCCAATTTCGTGTTTAAAGGCACACGATATGTTGTGGTGTCTGCTTTGGTTGGCATGCTAATAAAAAAGTCAAATTGGCCTTGATTGGGCTGTTTGATGTACACAATCATTAATAGTGGGCTCGGTGCTAGAATACGTTTTGTTAATTGTCCTGGAATAAAAAAAAGAGAGACGTGTCTTATGGACACCCGAATGGAATTCTAGTTCTTTTTGGTATATCTTTTTTGTGTGTTGTATTAAGAAATGTGTGACTAAAACATACAGAGAAATTCTGGAATATTAGTAAGAAAAATATATCACATTTTTATTTATTTATTATAAGTACATAAATAATATTCATGGTAAGCAGCGACTCGGCTCTGTCCCTGGCATTGCTGAAGTCGATGGGCGACGATAACCACTCACTATCAGGTGGATCATATGATAGTCTGCCTACAAGGGTAATAAAATAAAATAAAAATGTATATTTTCGACAGAGACAGCAAGCTGACTTAGTAGTAAAATGTTCCAATTTCCTAGGTGAATAGGAAAATTCGGATGCCTAAAAAATCACTGCAAGAAAACGTCAGTTTTCTGTCTGTGACTGTGACTGTGTCTGTGTCGTTTTTCATCGCTATTGTTACACTTTTATCGGGTCTAGCTACTCAAGCCGCTACGAAAAGGAACTACGTTCCAAAAATTACTGATTTGATATTCTAATTTAATTAAATGATAATTTCTGAAATGTAGCCTACCACGAATACTTTACTACGGTTACAAATAATGTTAAACTGTTTTGTGTAGGTGAGGAAATATTTAGTGGGGATGTTGGCGGTGGCACCCTGTCTCGCCGTCGACGCGGAGATGACTTCGTTCAGGAAAATAACATTCGGAACAATCGTCTTTGCCTCAATAATGGTGAGCCTGAGAAATCATTTTTATATAAATAATATGTATCATTTGAGTAAGTATTCCCTTATACGTCGCTGTAGTTGTAGCTTCATGTTGGATTTGATTTGAGAAAATGTTAGCTATTATTAACGAACAAGTAAGTTTACTAATCTATACATATAAATAAAATTGGAATGTCTGTTTGTAATGTTGAAATAACCGCTTTTTACTACACGCATATGAATATATGTACGGTATTTACACCAAAATAACATTTTTTACAATTTTTTCCTGTCTTTCTGTTTGTTTCGGCTAATCTCTGGAACGGCTGGACCGATTTTGACGGGATTTTCACTGATAGGTAGCTGATGATATAAGGAGTAACTTAGGTTACTTTTTTAGACTAGCTTTGCCCCACGGTGTCACCCGCGGTACGACAATAACCGCGGATGGGTTGGAATAAATACTATGTACATTGATAGAAATTATAAAAAAAAAACGTAGTTCATAGTAACGATTATAATCTCAGCATTAATATACGTAATTGAAACATGCTTAATGTGATTTATGTTCGTTTCAAAACAATGTTATGTTTAAGTCTCCAATAAAAAAATTACGAAATTGGATTAAGAGCTAATCTGCAATTGCATTGGTTTCACTTAATGCAGTGAAGAATGTTAATTAATTATAGCTATTAAACACGGCACGATGGAATGCCTAATATCAATAATTTAGTACTGTTCAGCAATGTAAGGTATGAAATAAGGCATTACACATATTCTAAGGATTCTAGTTTAGTTATTGTAGCACCGCATTCAGTTGGTAGGTACATCGGTTAGAAGCTTAATACGGAGGTGGGTGCATGCCTTTGATAAGGATGCTTCGCATAGTTTCACTGACGCACGTGTTTGCCACATGCCTAAATACCATAGACAATGAAGGAATTATATTAAATGTGATGAACCCTGTTTGTGATCTTTGTACACAATATTTAGATTTTTTTCGAATAAAACGAACTTTGTATCGTTTTACTCATTGCTCGCAGACTTCAGAGCTTTTTTCAATATATCCTTTACATTCTCTATTTCTCGGAAACTCTAAGAAAAGCTCTAATGGTTTGATTATTTGGTTTATCAACTTTATCAGCCAATCTAAGGTCGACAGCGGTATACTTTAGACATTTTTTAAAATAATTATTATACATAGAATACACACACATATTTTGTTTAAAATATGGGAACGCATTATCATAACATTTCAATACTATTAAAAAGATATAAATTAATTTGAAACATTTTATTACAAACTTAAATAATTTTCAACTCAAATATTAATTTTAAATAATTTTAAGCCACAAACTTCATTGAAGCAACAAAGTAGAATTGATGATTATAAATGGTAAAATAAGTCACTATAGTATTTATGTTTTTTTTTTAATTATTGCTTAGATGGGTGGACGAGCTCATAGCCCACCTAGTGTTAAGTGGTTACTGGAGCGCATAGACATCTACAACGTAAATGCGCCACCCACCTTGAGATATAAGTGTTAAGGTCTCAAGTATAGTTACAACGGCTGCCCCGCCCTTCAAACCGAAACGCATTACTGCTTCACGGCAGAAATAGGCAGGGTGGTGGTACCTACCCGCGAGTACTCACAAGAGGTCCAACCACCAGTAAATTTTCTAGGGACGTAAAACATTTAAATTACGTATTCAATTTAATACAGGTACCTCAAGCTCTGGGGGTCAGGGTGAGCGTGAATGCGAGTCACCTCCTGAGCCGGCTCCTCCCGAAGTGCCTCCGAGAGGGCCATCATTGCACGTCACTTTGCGCCATCGACCTTGCGAACAGAATGCGGAACCTGATCGTCTTTATTTATCTGAAGGTAAGAAGAGGTGGTTTTTTAACCTTTGCATCAAAGGGCATTAAGCCTTCGGTACAAAGGTCAAGAAACAAGTGCAAGACTAAGATGCATCATGAGCTATTGAGCACGCATCAATGTTGTTTTTTTTTTTCTCTGAACGTTATACCAATGTTAATTAACCATAAAAACTAAATTTAGCACGTTCTTGGATTACCTAATTATCAAGAGAAATATAGAAAATATAAACGCGTTTCTCAAGAGTTTCTAAACACATATTTAGTAAATCAGATTAAATCTGCCATGTAGTCAAGGCATTATAATATTAAAAATATTGGAGTTTTCTTCGTCATTCGTCGGTAGAATATAACTTTTATGACTTTACATTAGAAGGTGACAAAGGGCAGACGGCTATTATTGTTAACATCATAGTTGTGTTTTATGTATTTTTATGACTTCGTTTCACTTCATTACTGCGTTGTAAGTACAAGGTCTAAATAACTGGAGTAATAAAAATATACTTATCACTGTCAAAGTTACGTTCTAGTATAATATTTTCTTCAAGTTTTGCGAGTCGGAGACATCATTAAAATTATATTAAAATTATATTAACGGCTTAGTTTCACGTTTATTATTTTCATTTTATTATCTCTGATGTTTTAAATACTTTACAGTTTTCGTGGTCAGTCGTAGACAGTTTTTGTAGATCGTGCGTGATCACGAAAACTGTTTTATTTATTTATTTATTTCTTAGGTGGGTGGACGAGCTCACAGCCCACCTGGTGTTAAGTGGTTACTGGAGTCCATAGACATCCACAACGTAAATGCGCCACCCACCTTGAGATATAAGTTCTAAGGTCTCAGTATAGTTACAACGACTGCCCCACACTTCAAACCGAAACGCATTACTGCTTCACGGCAGAAATAGGCAGGGTAGAGACGGACTCACAAGAGGTCCTACCACCAGTAATTATTATTTTGTATTAAACTAGCCAATTAAACATTAGAAGCGAGACTAAACCGTAAAAGCGGTTTTAATTACGGTTAAGATAACTTTTTTCTTATTAGCTAAATTTTATTTGAGACAAGAATATTTGAAGGAGAGAAAAGGTGATTTTGTTATGCAAACCGCTTGATTTTTTAACCTTTGTTGGGAAGAAAACAAACTTCCCGAACAAACTTCTCTTTTAATCTAAGTTTGCAGATAAGGGTTCTGTAAAATGTGGTTAAATTTTACAGCGAGCGTTTGTGCGCTTGTACATATTCGTTTTTAAATACTAGATCGAAATACTTTTGAAATAAATATTTATTTATAATTACCTAAATATACATGTTCATTCCCGTAATGTTGTACTTAGGATACGAAAATAATTAAATACGTATGTATTAGGTACGCTTGTAAAATTGAATAGCTAATATTTATTAACGTTAAGGATTTATTTAGATAGCACATTGAAGTCGCATTTTGAAGTCGTCGTGGCCTAAAGGATAAGACGTCCGGTGCATTCGTGTTGAAGCGATGCAACGGTGTTCGAATCCCGCAGGAGGGTACCAATTTTTCTAATGAAATACGTACTCAACAAATGTCCACGATTGACTTCCACGGTGAAGGAATAACATCGTGTAATAAAAATCAAACTCGCAAAAGTATAATTTGCGTAGTTACTGGTGGTAGGACCACTTGTGAGTCCGAGCGGATAGGTACCACCACCCTGCCTATTTCTGCCGTGAAGCAGTAATGCGTTTCGGCTTGAAGGGTGGGGCAGCCGTTGTGACTATACTGAGATCTTAAAACTTGTATCTCAAGGTGGGTGGCGCGTCTACGTTGTAGATGTCTATGGGCTCCAGTAACCACTTAACACCAGGTGGGCTGTGAGCTCGTCCACCCATCTAAGCAATAAAAAAGTGTGTGTGTCCGCTCCGACGCACGACTGGAGTTTACTGGATATAAAAAATTAAACGAAACAATACGAGAAATAGTTCTATATTACGACAACACGATACACTACAGATTATTAACAAATTAACGAGACACAAAACAAACGACTAACAAATATATGAAAATACAATAATGAGAGAANGGCGTCCGTGGGACGGTGGGATGGATGTAATGTGCTCTGCGTCAACCCTGTCCCGCCGTTTCAATAGCCCCGACTGGGCTCCGGCCCGGTCCGAGGTAGGGCGCCGGTTGTGAGCGGCAGGAGTTTTTAGTGAGGTTCAACTCCCACATACCTCACCTGCCGCGCGGGTGGGGATCCGGCGATTTTCTCCTGTGGAAAAAAAAAAAACGTTATGGATTTAAACTTCCCTGGTAGACGAAATTCGACTATAACTAATGGAAATTATAAGTTTGTACACTATTATGATTCTATTGTCAAGTACTATTATACTTCTTTTAATTACAGATTTCGTCAAGACTACACTTTAGACAAATATTAATAAAGAGAAAAAAATATTTAATCTATTTTCCATTTGACAGATTATAACTGACAGATTGCAAAGAAAAGTTTGACAATAAACAAATAGTATACATGCGTGTGTGTGTCAAATACATGGTAGTGTGTGTAATGTTTTCTTTCTTGATTTAATGTATCTTTTATGCATTATTTAAAAAAAAGTATTAGCATTGTGCACTTCTTCTCTATATTCTCTATAAGTGTGGAAAATTTCATACTCCTCCGTCCGCGCAATGTTCGTAAAAAGGGATACAAAGTTTTTGCTTCACGTATTAATATATAGATAGCACACGTTCTAGCCCGTTTAATGTAATGAAATTATATGCGGTCGTAAAATACTAGTTAAGCAAGCCCTTTAATTGTGTAGTTACTTCATGTAAAGTTTAATCGAAAACGTTAAGAGTTTTACGCGGCCCCAACTTTCCTTACATTGACAAATTAGATACTTGGTTTTACTTCGTCTGAGATTGTGTACTTAATGACTTAGCAAAAGTTTTTTTTTTTAAATATCAAATGTATCAATTCTGTACTTCGAAAAGAAGAGTTGAAAGAGCTAAAAATCACAAAGTCAGGTGTTTAACAGTGTACAGGTCAGATTGTCGGTCGCGTTTTTCAGCCGTAACGAAAGAAGAAAGCTGCTAAATTTGATTTGAACTAGACTCTGACAGAGGATGAGTCGCTTTGATGTGGCTGCCCCTCGCCCCCCTCCCCGCCGTGCCCTCGGCCCGTTGAAACGGCGCGCACTTACAGAGAAACTCTTACCGTAATTTAATTTTTATGATAGCGCATTGTAAGCGCCCCTGAGAGACTTTCACTTAGATTTCCTCTATGAAACGAATTGGATTACAGGCGCTAGTAAATATTCGAGAAAAACTAACACTTTTTGCCATAAATATTAAACAACCGTGGGAACTTTGTATTCTGCTAAGTTGAAGTTAGGTAGGCATGGAAATGAATTAAGCAAATCTTGATTCAAACAAGAAAATAGCCTCAAAAGGTCTTGAAAGTTTAATGGAATCGAACGGGGCCCGGCAAAGTAGTCGGAAGTTTGCGCGGGTGACAAATTGGGCACTTGACCCGCACGTCGACCGAACCTCCCCGCGCTTGTTTCTCGAGGACCGTAATAAGTTTAACTTAAAGTAAACTATATTCCACTCCCTCTAATTTGCTCCATCTACACGGCCACGACATTTTTGCTCGTAAATTAAACGAATCACATTTGTGGTATAATTTTTATGAGCAGAAGTTTTCATGGCCTACCAGGTGTAAAATGGTTATTGGAGTTCGTAGGCATCACGTCTTGAATAACGCCCCGAACAGAGCACGAGATTGAAGTCTCTCTGTTCTTAGTGTGGTATCTAGCCGTGCGAGCTGACGATACGTCCTACCATCAGTGACTCCGAGTAGTTAGTGGTAAACGAAGCTATGTCTTCATAATGGAAGTTTTTTTATTTTTATTGCTTAGATGGATGGACGAGCTCACAGCCCACCTGGTGAGTGATTACTGGAGCCCATAGACATCTACAACGTAAATGCGCCACCCACCTTGAAATAGAAGTTCTAAGGTCTCAGTATAGTTACACGGCTACCCCCACTCTTCGAACCGAAACGCATTACTGCTTCACGGCGGAAATAGGTGGGGTGGTGGTACCTACCCGTGCGGACTCCCAAGAGGTCCTACCACCAGTGAAAGTCATACGAAAGCCCCGATACAGTTTGCATCAGTTAACCTGCGTATGCCAGGCATATTGTAAAAATGTATTAGACAACGGAATCTTCTAAAAATTATTTAAGCACATTAAAATATTTGACTTATGAAAACAGTTCATATAATGTGAATTTACGGTATAAACAATTGGTTGTTTACTCGAATGTTCCATATTATATTGCATCAGGACTCGCTGTCTCGTCTCACCGGTCTCTTGCTTGAAATGAGTCTCCCCCTGAGATTCAACGTAATTTAATTTTTACGATGCCGTATTGCCGGAGCTTCCGTGAAGCGTTGTTTGCAGTTAAAACTCAAAACACAGCCGTCTTTAGCTATTATAATAATATTAACGTGGAATTTACAACCGTCTTGACAATCTGAGAGTTTAACTTGTTTAGTAATTAAACGTTGCATGTATGTATGTTTGTTTTAGAAATTGCAGATGTCTAATCTCATGTCGTAATTAGGAAATAAATGTGACAAACAAAAATTATTAATCTAGTTTTTTAAGCAATATGAATTAATAGTTGAAAACATAATAGAGACTAGCATTTGGCCCGTTTTATCTTTGAATAATAGTGATGGCGTGAGGTCTATGCGGCTCATGGACATCAGAAGTGCCCGGAGCAAAGTCAAACTTCTGTCTAGATGATAATGCTTTGCGAGAACGATCTAGCTTCAATCACAGAAGCTAGCATGCATTTTTTTTGTGTCTATAAAATAAAAAGCATTTTAACAATCTCATTATAATATACAGACGTCCGTATCGCGTTTTATACGTTCCTATGTTCATTGCGCCGTCTTGATGGCGAAATAAAAATGTTATTACTCAGTTTAACATCGTGGTGAAATTGATATAACTCAGAGTATTCTTTGTTGGCACTCTTCTATTTCATTTGACGGA